CATCTGGTGATGATGAGGAGATGAGACAGAATGCGGATGTTTTTGTGCCCCTGGATCCTGTACCTCTTGGTATTCTGGTATCAGTAGTCTAGCCACAGAAGCTCCTGGGGAGAGGGACCTCTTCTTCGATGGTGGACACTAGCTTCTTGATGCTTGTAAAGGATGGCCCCAGTATCCCCAATAAGGCCATGGTGGCATCCTGCATGCATGTGTGTGACTTGCAGGCTGTTGACCAATGCTAGTCTTGATGGGCTGGTAGTGATTAGGTCCATAGAAGTCTGCAAGTCTCTCAACTACACTGCTCACAGACCTCAGAGGGGATGGGTCCCCTGCTAGAAGTCTGCAGGAAAAGAGGTGGGCCCTGGAGATGATGAGGAGTAAACCTCCTTTAGGGGCAGCACTTACAAATAAGACCCTTTTAGTCCCAGAGTTTGTATTGGCGCTAGTGGATACCAGTACCAGGGATAGACCTGGTTCAGCCCAACCCTCCTTGCTAAAGGCCAGGGTTAATGCCTGTGGGAGCACCTTTGGAACCAGGGTCAGTGCCAGGTGAGTCTGCTGCATCACAGTGTACTGCTTCTCTCCATCCCTCAATGCCATACAGGCCTTATCTCCCAATGTTTTGTGTGCCTGTCCTTGCAGAAGGACACCAAGCTCCTTCTTGAGCTGCTGCTTTGGTGCTCAGAAAGGTCCTTTTCAATGCTCAGCTTCAATGCCTTAGGTGTTGGTGTTGGCTTCGACATCAAAGCTGAAGTCAGCTTTGGTCCCAGTGCTAGTACTCATGCTGATATCAATGCCAGTGTTGGCACCAGATCTTTCTTCGGTAACAACTTCTTCATGGTAGTCTTAGGAGTCATACCTCTCCTTGATGGAGCACTAGATGTTGCAAGCTTGTCAATTAGAAGGATTTCAGAGCTCATTTCCTCAGAGTCTGATGAGTCCTTCATGGATTGTTCCAGAACCTGGAGCTTCAGCCTCACATCTTGAGACTTGTGAGACCTCACAGAGAATGGCAAGCATACCGAGCATATGTCTGGAACATGGGATTCCCCTAGACAGAAGAGGCACCTACTGTGCCCATCTTGTAACGTACCAAGCTTGAGGCCTGCAGGTTTTGAATCTGCCAATACAGAAACCCTGTATGAGGGGAGAGGTGTCAGACCAGAGAATTTTGATCAATCATTTGATCAGTTCCTGGTGGTCAAAACAAAAAAATCAAAAGTGGTTCTGAATATTCACAGAAGATTTTAGAAGATTTCGAAGGAGTTTAGGCTAGCTAAAATCTAGCAGGTCAGACACCGGCCAGGTTCTGTCTCGCTGTCTCAGATGGTAAGAAGGAACTGAGGGAGAATCGTAACAGCTTTATGCCCTTTCAACATGGGAGCATGGCTAGGCACAGGGCACATGAATGACTGATAGACTTCTCTAGTGAAGGAAAATCCAGTCTTGCAAGCCCGAGGTGCAGAGGGACACATCACTGACACACACTCAAAGCAGTAGTAATGTTAATACAGAACTATGGTCTCTGGGATTTATGTTTTGGTTTGTTTTTGCAGCAGTATATTTGTTTTGTAAGACAGAGCCTCTTGTAGGAACCAGACTACTGATTGTATTCTTTGACATTTCTATTTATAAAAATCTAACCAGGTTCATTTTCAATAATTTTTTTGTTCATCTGGTAAGGAAAAATAAAAAAGGAGATTAATACCAGCTTACGTATTATGTGTTCAAAACCTTAGTGAATTCTTCAAGGCCTGCTGTGGGTCAGATTTCATGAAATAGCAATAAAAATTCCTTTTTTTTTTTCTTCTCTCCATGTGTTCTGAGGAGGGTTTGTAAGTTTTGAATTACTAAGTAATCACGAAGAACTCCTCTTTTCATGAGCATGCATCCAGGAAATGGACCATTTAATATTGGCATAAACAACAAACTCCATCTCCTTTTTCTCATCTACCACTCTTCTCTGGCATTTTCTTCTGTAGGACCCCAATCATTCAATTGCTTTCACGCAGGCCCAGGGCAGATCACAATGCAAGACTGGGGCCTAATTTTTAAAAATCTTGTTTACTGACTTTTGTAAAAATAAGAACATTACTGCATGTACCTTCAAAGCATAAAAATATAGTTCATTAGTGTATTTGCAATTATTTTTTAAACAACAAAACATGCATTTAATGCATCTGCAAGTTTGCCTTATAAAATGTGTTCTCATTACCATGGCAGGGTAAGGTGCGGAAATGATCACTTCTAGTTCCTAAAAGAAGAAAATATATCAAGAGCATTTATTAAAAATAATTAGATACAAATTATAGTAATCTAGTAGAAATAAACTGTAGCCTCAAAGATAAAATTAGCCTAATAGCACTAATATGGAGCACCTCCAAACTCATTCTGCATATACAGAATAAATGTATCTAATGATTCCATTGACTTCTATCATTTAATGTGGTAGCCATAAAGATTACTCAGAAATAGTCTCTCCGTTTGTATTCACCTTTACTTCTGTTATAAGTTTCACTCTCAAATAATACCAGCAGAAATTAAAGTTAATTGCCACTCAAAGTTTAATACATCACAATTGTATAGATCTCTATTCATATTCATTCTCATATAACCCATCTGCTGAAAATCGAATATGATGAGTCTGAGGGGACATTCCTGAAACAAGGTGCTGGGGCACAACCTGCTCCCAAATGAACAAAGGGTTAATTGTTGCTAAGCTCTGCCCCTCTCCCTTCTTGCACAGATGCTAGGGAAAGACTATAAACTGTGTGCTTAGAGACTGCCTATGAGAAAGATCATGGGACTGAGCTGAACCCGAGGCTAGGGGAGTTTCTCCATTTCTGCTTTTGTTAACTTGTTTTCATTTCTGGGAATAAATTTTATCTTTCAATAAAACCTCTGATGACTTTCTGTGGGGTATTTTCTGATAAGCCAGTCTACCAGCTTACAGTTGCTATGTGTGAGTCTGGTAGTATCATTTAGAGACCTGAATTGAATTACCTATCCTGTCCTCTTGCTTTCTAAGCAGAAGAGACCTGGAATACTCTCTGTGAAGTGTTCTCAGGCCCTGGAAGAGATGGAGCACCTTGCTTCACCCCAAATTGATCCTTTTGGCCAATTAAGGACAGGTATTGATGGACTCTGAAGAGAGTCAAGTCCTGGCCTTGAAGGCTGGGGAAATGATGACTGAAATAGAACCTTGAGCATGAGAGATTAACTCAAGGAAATAGTTGGCTCCCAACTATTAGAAACACCGTGATTCTTGCAAATTGTTCCTGCTCATCTGAGGTTTTCACATATATACTGTCAACCTATCTGTCTTATGATTTTATACTGCCACCCATCACCACGGTATCAGAGGCCCAGATCCTCAAAGGTACTTAGGTTCCTAACTTCAATTGAAATAAATTGGACTTAGGACCTAAATAGCTTTGAGGATCTTGGCCTGAGTGCCTAGTATATCCTAGTAAGAAACCTACAATTTCAGTATATTTAAAAACATATAACTTTTGTAGCTTTTGGTTTCTTAGGTCAAAGACTGTGGCCTAATGTCATGATGGTCATTTGACAATATAGTTTAGATTTTTTTTTCATTATTGATCCAAAATGGGGCAGGAAGGATAGAGATCCTTCAGTCTTTTCTGTTTTCTTTTCTCCCTTACTTCCCTCTGCACTCCACATTCAGAATAACCATCCCTCCAACTGAGGAAAGCTGGACATGGTGCTCTTAGAAACTTTTCAAGATTGTCCTGTATATCAGGCAGACTCAGACACAACAGGCTGGAATAGCTCAAGTCCTATACTTCAGTAAGATAGCAGCAGGAGCCTTTTGTGTCCCATTGTTGCTAATGTGCAGCATGGTCAGTGTGAGTGGCTACTCCATAGAGGATCCTTCTTCAACTGGGAAGGCTTCAGATCTATGTAGCAGCCCCCTACATCATGGATGAATACAGCAACTGACCCCCACTCCAAGAAGTACCTGAGTGGAGGTGTGAATAGGCTTTTTTTTTCTTTGAGCTGGGGGAGGGATGAGAGTTAATTTCATAAGCCAGCCCCAGGAGTTTTGGTTCAAAAACAAAGTATAAAGAATCCCAGAAATACAGATAGAGTTTGGTCTGGCACTTCAGATGCACCCATAACTGTTACGAACTTCAATACAATTTTTAACATACTAGCAATGAAATATCAGGCCCTCATTATCCTTCTTTGTCCAGTTGTAAGGCATTTATCGATGAGTTTTAGAAATCCAGAGGTGATTCCTTTGTACCCTAAAGTTTAAATACCAAAAGTTTCTTATTACTCAGTTTTCCTGTACAAAACTCCTGTAAAATAATCCTAAAGTTGGCGTGCATGTGCTGTTCTGAATCACTTCTGAAATAGGCCATTTTTATTTTCCTGTGCAGAAATGCATAGCTTGTTCTTCTAAGACCATATTTTGCCCCAGTTCTGAACCATTTCTACTGTGCCTAGTGGAGCCTCAAGAAGCCTGACAGAAGAATAGTTGGACACTTATTGATGGGTCTAATACCTGAGATTACTTTATACATTCCTGACCAGACTTCTGGGGAAGCCTCAGATGTTAACCATTTTCTTTCAATATATTGAAATCTTTTATAAGCCTGCAGCATAGCCATCTCAGACTGGCAATTGTGATATAAGAATGTGGAAGGTGTTGGGTTTTGTTTAAAACAATTTTATTTTGGCCCCCTGCTGTAATCCTAGTAAAAATACATGTATGTCCTGAATATTAATTAATGGACTCAGGGAGCCATTTCTCAATTACATCTACCAGCTCTGTCTCTGTTTTCTCTTAGAAAGACACAATTCTCCTAAGACATAAAGCCTGATTTCTCATTGCTTTAATTGGAAGCAGGACTCGTACTTGGTCTGATTCTCCAAATATTCAATTTTCCATCATGCGTGGGTGGGTTACTCTTTAGAATTGTTCAGGATTTGATTCTGGTGTTTCAATATTTTAGCCAATTACAACACAGATATTCCTTTTAAAAACAGTTTAATATTAAAGGTAACATTAAGTTTAATCAACATGCTAGATGCATTCAAGGAAAGAAATACACAATCATAAAAATAATCCATTTTAGGAGATTTCTCCCCCCGATCCTTTAAAGTTACAGTATTTTTAAGAAATAAATTTTTTCACTGAGATTTTTACCCTCTTTCCCTGTATTTTCTGGATCTCCTTTCTCTGCTGCAGGTGCTTGTAATGTCAGGGGAAACAATGAATTTTGAATTGAGACTTAGCGGATCTGATCACGTAGTCTATTCTTGGGCAAACCTCCCGTTGAAACCAAGAAAGATCAGAGTGCAGAACTAGGCCTTGCTGGTGAGTGGTAAGGAAATAACAGACTTCAAGATTTTTAGAAAGTTATGAAAGAAACACTGTGAGGAAAACCTCACTGAGTTTTCCTTTATTTTGGCCCCTTTCAGTGAATTTTGTCCTGGGTGATATAACCCAGTAATCTCCATCCCACTCATCTAAGTAGTACATGGACAGTTAGAAGCCAAAACATCAAAAGGGTACTTTTAAACTAGTTCAAAGCTCAAAGTTTATGTCTGTTAAAAATAAAGAAAGAATTGTATAAATGCTAGCATCCAATAGAGGTCTAGCCACTGAATTCAGTGGTAGCAGGATCTGACCTTCTATTATGAATAAAAATGTGGTCACTTATTTCCCATCCCCTCAAATGTCAATGAAAACAATCTTTTGGAAAAATGTGGACTTCTCTCTGCAGTAGTGTGAATCTAACTCAACCGTATTGTGTTAATTCACAAGAAACAGAAGGGGAAACTGACCAGTTTAGTGACACTGTCCAAGCTATGTGAAATAAATTAAAAAAAAAAGAGCTTAAAAATGAAAAGTACATTAGATTTTTAAAATTATCTGCATTGATAATTTAAGTGTATATTTAGAGCCCAAATGTGAAGAGACAAGAGCTAAAAAAGAATACGATAAAACAATAAGCACAAGAATAGGCAATGTACTGTATTTCATAAAATACACTTGGTCTGAAGCCTCAGAAGCAATTCAAATATTTCTTGATAAGGCAGCCTCATATCCTAAGACCTGTGGGGAAAAAAGTATAATATTCAAAGAAGGCTAGATCCTTTCCAGTCTTTTCATCTTTTAAGAACTATCTGCTGGGTCTTTCCATGAAAACATCATTACCCCTGCCTTGCAATTTAAATCGGAACTTACATAAGCACACTTCAAGTATAAGTTTTGCATTCAGCTGCACTCGATAAGCATTTGTTTACAATATGTCTTTTTCAATCTATTCGTCTTTAAACAGTCTTTTTAAAGAAATTTTAATTTGGAAAACCTGCAGATCACTGTTCATGATCATGTATTTTAATGGACTAAGCTGATACATCCAATATAGGTTGCTTGTTTTGAGTATTGAGGTGCTGTACCTGGTGTTTGAGAATTCAATGTTGTGTTCACCTCATAACAAAAGAAGCTCTAGCATTCTAGTGGGCAGTGCAGTATTTCTGTACTTGCCTGTAGGCCTAACTGCTAATTTTGAAGTCCAGTCACTCTGTGCTCAGCTAACAACATTGTTTACTACAAAATGTTCCGCAAAAACTACTGCTAAAATTGCTCAGTGGTCAGTCATGTTTCTTGAAATTAATTTTCAGACTGAGTAGCTGCTTTCTGTGAGGAGCTTTCCAATAGAATATCTCTCCCGACTGCCACAAGTTGCCCATGACCTTTTGATAAACAAGCAATAAATTTTAAAATATGCACTTGTTTAGATGCATTATTATTTTGAATAACTTGAACTGATGTTCTCACCCTTTGTCATCATAGAAATGACTATAAAATGTCTTACAAATTTCTCATAGGAGAACTGCCTATGCAACTGGAAATGGATAATGGCATACAATGGACCTTCAAGGCAATGAAAAACTACTTAACTGCAAATAAGAAACCCTCTCTATCTTACCCAGAATCCAGTGGGTATGTGTGAAGCAATATGTGTGAAAAGACTTACCAAAGAGGTTAAAATTAGCACGCAACTTAGTGAATAGCTTGCAAATGTACCATTTTTCAGATTTAAGTGTGTTTTGTGTCTTACAAAAACACTTTGAAATACACTTTTCCCTGCACTAAGGAATCAAGCCTTGTGAGGGAAAATAAGCAGGGGCTGGAGGGTGTAGAATTCATCGCACAATCCTAACACAGACTGTAGGGCTACAGCAGAATCCCAATGCAGCTGCTATATCAGCTATGGGAGAGACCTCCAATGAAACTGCTCCAGAGGTGCTATGGAGCTTACCTGGTGCAGAAATCTTGTGTGGGTCCATCACTCTTGCTGAGAAAGTGTTTAACTGAGGGTTTGGGGGGAGGAAGGTTTTCACCCATACAACTAAATCCTGTTCTCATGGAAATCAATGGCAAAGTTCCCACACTCTCTTCTAGGACAAGGATTTTTCCAATATTCAGTGAATACCTATTGCACATTGTCATCAACCATAATAGTTCATTATTTTTTCCACTCAGCTGATTGAATTCAGTGCAGAAGCTCACCATGCTTCCCTTAAGATGACTTGTTTCATCCTTTAATATCTAATAGGTTCACTCTCTTTACATGTCTTTCAGGTTCACATTTGACTTCTGTTCCACTTTCCTATTACTGGTAATTTCTGAGAGCCACATGGATGTATCTGGGGCTTTAGGCCCAAGTTCCCCTCAAATCTTAAACTTGTTGTTGTTGTTTTATGTATTAGTTCCCTCACTATATCTTGGGCAATAAAGAAATTGAAAGCCAATAAAGACAAGCCTATCAAAATTCAAAGAGATAAAAGCAAACAAGATCTAATACAACAAGTGGGAGGACATAAATGAGAGGGAAGGGTAGTAAATCGAGGACCAATACTGGTCTCTTTTAAAAAGATCTTTGAAAAGAAGATTGTAAGTATTGTTTCAAAACAGAGAGGGACGGGCTGGCAGATTTCAGGGCCAACAACTTCCATGTTCTAGAGCAGGGGTTGGCAACGTTCGGCACGCGGCTCGCCAGGGTAAGCACCCTGGCGGGCCGGGCCAGTTTTATTTACCTGCTGACATGGCAGGTTCGGCCGATCGCGGCCCCCTCTGGCCGCGGTTCGCTGTCCCGGGCCAATGGGGGCGGCGAGAAGCAGCGCAGGCGAGCGATGTGCTTACCCTGGCGAGCCGCATGCCAACGTTGCCGACCCCTGTTCTAGAGTTTATCACATGAGGTATGATGAGGAGACCTCTAAATGACAAGTAGGTATGAGGGCAGATTTCTGTCAGGTCAAGGCAGAAGGAGATCTGAGATGAAGCCAGGAAATCTTATTATCTCTATACCTAGTCATATTTTGCCTAGTAATTTTTTTATTTTTCTTACTAAAAGAAGAATTTGATCTGAATCTTTCCCTAAAACTTGTATCAAACTTTTTTGGAGGTCTTTTAAATAGCTCCATTAACTTTTAAAATAAGATTTTTACAGTCCTCTGCATTTCCTGAGTTCAGGTAGGCCCAGAGCAGAAGTACTGAAATACTGTGCCAAAACCTTTTCTTCCAGTATTTTCATCCCATTAGAAACCAGGATGTGATGTGAATGCGGCAAGGAAGCCTATTCTCACAAGACTTTCAGTCCAATCTATTGAGTAAAGGGGTTTGGATAAGTTTGATTAAGGTTGTAAATGGTTGACTCAGTCCTTCATCCTTCAGAGGCAGATACATTGAATCATGGGTTCCATAAAGAATAAACCTTGCCAGACAAACTTGATTGCTTTTTTGATAGAATTACAAAATTAGCAGATGATGGGAAAGCAGCAGACGTAATTATTTGGATTTCAGTAAAGCACGATACTGTGTCTCATACAACCTTCCTTGACAAATTAATTCAAATTGGCTGGGAAAAGAGCACTGTCATGTGGAATGAAAACAAGCTCAAAAGATTATAAACAAAGGATAAGGACAAATGGCAACATATAGATATGTGCACATACCTTGCCACTGCTTCCTTCCCTCAGTGTGGAGATGTCCTCCGTTGCCTTGTCCTGGAAGAAGAGGAGGAAGGTTGCCAGGGTGCTACTTTTGATGGGGCTGCTGCAGTGCTTCTGGACAGACATAGTCTAGATGGGGGACTGGTAACCACTCTGGCACGATGATGTGCTTTGGGACACAGATATTCACTAGACATAGGTGAGAGTGGCTCCTATGCAATCTGAGATGGGGGCCTGGAGAGATGATATGCTCTACAAAGCTTCAGCTTCCTTAGTGTTGTATCCACATGCAGCATTCCTTAAAGTGATAGCACAGCACTGCACTTTATAGGACTTTCCAGCAGGCTGACACTCGAAAAAGAAGGTAGCTGCTTGCTTGTTCAAAGACTCTTCGGTGGTGCAGGGAATAGATATCTGGGAGGAGGAGGAGCAGAACCCCTTTAAAGATGTCTACCAGCAAGACAGAAAAGAGGCAGGAATCTTTAAAGCACATAGGCCATTTTGAGGACAGGTTGGAATTGGTATCCCAGACATCCTGGACTACTTTGCCGCAGCACTTTAGGGAAGTGAGGGATAACACTCCTGATCCAAAATGTTCTGGTGTGAACTTGCATTATTGTGTTTAGTTCTGAGTGCCACATTATCACAAAAATATTGACAAATTGGAGTAAATTTAGAGAAGAGCAACCAAAATAACCAGGTGCTGATGTGAAATGCGTTAGCCATGGGAAAATATTTAAAAGAGCTAAATATGAATAGTTTGGTTAAGAGTCAACTTTGGGGTGTTGACAAGATAGCAGTCTACAAATATTGGAAGGGTATAACGCAAAGGGACCAATCTTGCCATCCAAACTCAGGCAAATTCCCATTGACTCCAATAGTTTCGTTTGAGTAAGGAGGGGCAGGATTGGGCAGGAGCAGAGCGAATTATTTAATTTGAAGCAAGGTGGTATAACTAGGGGGGAAAGGATTAAATCAATAGAAGGAAAATTTAGGCTGAAACACAGAAAACATTTCCTGACAGTGAAATTTCCTACAGGACGACTAGGCTGTAGAATAGTCTTTCAAAGGAAATGGCAAAGTCTCATCTATTGGGACATTTACATCTAGTCTGGATAAAACAGGCTTTTTCAACAGGGATTGCCCTGGCCTTCACTGAATTCTTGAAAGTCACACCGTGCACAGAGGGATCAGTGAAGTTTGGGGCCTTGCCTACTCCTCAAGGAAGGCAAATCCCTCATCCCCGCAGTGGAAACATCTTTATTCTGGCCACCTATGTTTTTCCATAGGAAAGGGGAAACTAGACCTCTGTTTCAGTTCTCTTCTTCCTTTAAGTCTGCCTCTCTCTGTACCTCCATTTTCCTTTCTTTCTCTGTGCCTTTGATTTCATTGAAAAGGGCCAGATCAGCAGCTGCAGAAGAACTTGATTAGTGCCTTCCTCCTGTGCAGAATCCTTTTCTCAGTAGCATTGATCCTAGTCAGTTTCACTTTTGAGGCAGCACCATTGATAAAGTGTTTCTGGACAAGAGCATCCTACAGACCTCAGCTACTGTAAAGGAGGTTGCATCTATCACCTAATCAGGATGGGTTCTGGGCAGGCAGTTCTACTAATTTGTTTATCTCAGTTCAGCTGTAAATCTTTTTAAATACCAAAAGCCTGAATCTAAAAATCCACTGTTTTGCTGAGACCTTTTAAGACAATGTCAAAGGCAATTCTTTATTGAATGTTATAAACATCCTTATAGAAGTAAAGCTTTAAGTTTTAATATTTAAATAAGTGTTTAAAAGTTCCTTTTTGGATTGTGAACCTATTTTAAAGCAGGATGGAAACAGGTTTTCAATCAGCCTCTTGTATATTTCACCTATACTGCCAGAGGCCAAAATAATATCACTTTTTTGGATTAGACACAGCCCACAATATGGTCACAAATGCCAACTGTACTTAAAAACATTGGGCCTGACTCTTCAGTCTTTATTCAGACTCAGGGTTCACTGAAAGCAAATAAGATTAGCCATAATAAACAAGTTTAGCATTTGTTTACAATCTTAGCAATTATAAACAGTTAAATGTATTGGAAAATAAAGGGCCTGAACCTGCTGTTTTTCTTCAAACTATTGCAAACAATGCTTATAGAGTGCGACTGAATGCAAGACTTGTAGCTGAAGTGTGCTCATTTGAGTTTGAGTTTAGTTTAAAGAACAGCAGGTTCAGGCCTTTATTTTCCAATATATTTAACTGTTTATTATTGCTAAGATTGGCTTCTTACATTTTGTCCACTTCAACAAGTAAAATGGATGCAGTTCTCTCTTTTACAGTGATTCCAATAATACTTCGTACTTTGTGAGACCATGTGGAGCTAACTATTCCACCATCTTTTCCCCCCACCCAGGAAGGACTGACTACATTCTCAGCCACTTTTAATCAAATCTAGACAAATGTTGAAAATTTTTCTGATTAGGCTAGAGTGCTTTTTTTTTTTTAAACAAACCTCAACTTTATATAAGGCTAAAGGTTTTGGGGAAGTAGGAATTAACTCGGGTTAGCAATAGGGAATGGGTGTCAGGGACAGCTGGCTAGCGAGAACAATAAGTAGGTCTGTTTCTGAGGGGTGACAGGAGGGCAATATGGGTCAGCCTGCTGTTGCTGGCTTGCTGGGGTAGCTGGACAATGGAGAAGAGGTAGGATGATTTGGGGAATTTTTTTAAAGTAATTCCGGTGACATATACAGTAAATGTAATTTATAGATGTCTGATTTATTATGCTTACACGATGTATGTCTATTATTGTCTTGTCTATTTAGATTGCAAATTCTTTAGGGCTGGGACTGTCTCCCTCTCGGTGTCTGTACAGAGCCTAGCACAATGGAACCCCCTAAGAGCTATCATAATACAAATAATAATAATTATATAGCATTTTTAATCTTCAGAGGACCATACAAACACTAATTAACCTCTTTATCCGTGTATTCTTTACTATAAGTATGACATATAAAATGTACCAAGGAGGAACAGAAACAGCTAAGATAGCCTGCACGAGGCCATAGAGTGAGTGAAATTATAAAAATGTAGATCCTGAAATAGTTCTTGTAACTAAGTTGTATTGGTAGATGCCAACCAGTGTAGATGGAGTGTTTTTTTAAAAAGCTCATTGAAACGAGCTGAACAAATAATTTTCAATCAGCAATTTAGTCATCCGATTTCACTTTTTTGCCCCTGTTTGTGGATTGCTTATAAACAGATTGTAAAATTCTCAAATGTATTCATTATTCAGAATTATTTACAAATTTCTTCAGCCAATAATTCTTGGTCTGCAGATTATTAGTGAACCTTTAATTGTAAATATTCAAAACCTGAGCTCTGTTGATCGGTTTTATAAGTAACATGATTCTGTTCCTTGATTGAATTACTTTAAGATATTAACAAGTAATGTGAATTGTGAATATTACAATAAAACATATAATTTCAAAATTTGCACCATGATAGTACATTAGATAAGTCACACGGTGTAATTTTTGTTCTTTCATTGGATGACTTATGTAACTAACCAATACTATAAATTTTATAATTGAATGAACAATTCAAATTCATTTTTGATCAATACTCGAGCAATCAAATTTAGGATTCACTTTTCACAGGTATTTCAAACCAGTGAAACTCAAATGCTCTGTTTTCACAGAAAGGATCTCGAACACCAATGAATTGAAATTTGCTTTCTAAGTCAAGACATTTTTTTACATGAATTGCTAAGCTCCATTGAAAACTATTCTCAACCATTTAACAAAGTTGAAAACAATCCACACAGGCCAATACAACTACACTACCTGAAACAACTCTCAAGAAGCATTTCAGGATCAGAGACACTTTTGTGGGGCTTATCACTAGGTGGGCTGTGGTATATTTTAGTGTGATTCTTGGGTGCACAAGAAATCCCCATATCTGTAGCCAACTCCCATAATGTGGGAATGTTTTGTCAATTCTGCACTTGAGCACTGTTTTCAGCCAGGAGCAGTTGTAATTATCTCTTCTTATTTTAGGAGTTTTTAAATGTTGAGGTTTGATATTCTTGTAGGCCAGTCTTAGCACAAAGAGACTCCTGCATGCAACACTGCCAGTGCACTCCAAGCCTGGCATACCGGGGGCGCAATTAAAAAGTTCTGTTTGTTTGAAAGATTCTGCTGGTTTTTTATGCTTAATACAGTAATTCTGTTAGAATGAGTCAAGTGTTTCAACTAGGATAAATTTTAAGGGTGTCAATTTATATCATTCTTTTTATCCCCAAGCTTGGGCTCCTTCTGAGGGAAGACTCCCAAATGTGTTCAATTGTGTGTGAGGTTATTTTGTGCTGGGGCAAATGTCACTTTAAGCCTTTTAGAGAGACAAGGAGGGTGAGGTAGTATCTTTTATTGGACGAACTTCTGTTAGTGAGAGAGACAAGCTTTCGGGCTCCACAGAGCTCTTCTTCAGGTCACCTTGTCTCTCTCACCAACAGAATTTGGTCCAATAAAAGATATTACCTCACCCACCCTGTCTCTCTAATATCCTGGGACCTACACAGCTACAACAACACTGCATACTTGAAGCACTTAGCAGAATACAAACCAGAAGAGAAAGGCTAGTTGTGCATTAACTCTTGTGTAACCTAACCACCTCTAAACTTTGCAGAAAACATCCCCTCTTTGTGACCATATTCAGTACATCATTTACCAATGCAGTAGAAATAGTGAATTGGGCTATCGTGAAGGACTCCCACATTCAAGTGCAATCCATGGGCTTCCACTCCCTAAACTGCTGGAGCAAACAGCAACAGAGAGATCACCCATTAGGATCCAGTTGTGCATCCACCAGTCCATGCCATGATGTTCCCCAGACTAACTGCAATCCCTAATTTTTCTCTTCTGTTTCTATTCTGCTCTACTTCACCTGGCACTGATACCACACCCATCATTATGGTATGTAAGTGTCTAATTTTATAACAGTCTTACAAAACACCACCCAAATACACAAAAGGACATTTTTTGGGAGGGAGGGGGAATTTGTCTTGGTCAGAAGGTTTC